GCGGTGACCAGCTAATGGTCAACCCACCCGGACCCAGGCCAGACACACACACAGTCCCAGTCCCCTCCTGAGCGGTGGCCAGCTAATGGCACAGATCGCAGTGTGTCTAGGCTGCTTTTCGGGGGTCTCGTGCATGGACGCACGCATTGTGTTTTGTAAGAGGGTGTATTACCGTTCATCCAGCCCTGAAACACTGCCCTGCTCTGATGTGGTCTCCCGGAAACTGTTCATGAGAAGTGGGGTGAGATCATCAGCCAAACACACGGGTTAAACCATGCTGCCCGTTTTGACTTGGCACGAAGTCCATCACCTTGAGAACGATGTCTGTCCCTTCTCTCTCAGACATGGGCAAGTGCCACCTCACCAAGGGCAAGCAGGCCCTGGAGATCCGCAGCAGCCTGTCTGAGAAGAGGGCCCTCACTGACCCCATACAGGGGACCCCGCACTCGGCCGAGTCGCTGGTGCGGAACCTGCAGTGGGCCAAGGCACACGGTACGGTGATGTGGGGGGGAGGGGGGCGGTTAATGTTCGATTATTGATTTGAGGAAAATAAAAACCTTTGCCGCTGAGTCAATATCATCGCAACCCCGGGGGAAACCCATGGGTTCCCAAACGGTGACTCTTCATGCCACTAGAAAGTCTCATCTCCCTGCCAAGGAGCGGCTGGTGGTTTCAAAGTGCTGACCTTGCCGTGGGCAGCCCAACTCAAAGCCACCTCACCACCCAGCCTCCTCCCTCTACAACACACTTCCGTCCTGAGATGCTAAATCAAAGAGACTCTTGCCTCTGGACCAGGGTAGGCCAGAAAGCATTGCCACCAGGGTTACAGTTCGTGCGTGGCTTGATTGACCCCAAGCTAAACGTGTGTGGACGTGGTGCAGACGGGTTCTGTTGGTCATGCTTGCTTGGTAGTCTCATGGGGCTTCCGGGGGGATCTGCTGGGCCAGTTCAGTTCCAGAGACAGGTCAGCTCAGACACTTATGGTGGCTGTTGTTGGAGATCCCACGGGGGTAGGAGTCATCTTGATAGCTTTCCTTAAAGGGCATGGGGCAAGCACAGGCATGTATTATGGAGAAGTTTAAGACTTCGTTAAAACTGCATGAGCGGGACCGGCCCCAATCCCAGCGACGTCAACCCCTCCCCAGAAGAATGCACTTACAGCGGACAGCACTGAAGATACAGCCCAGGGAGAGTGGCAGGTCTGCCCAGACCACACGGGAGCAAGCTAAGAGGGAGAGAAAGTGGACCACATCCTGGTCCAACAAGCCCCAGGGATGACGCTCCTGCTCGGAGCAGCCAAGGTACAAAGAGGACCGTCAGGCCAGCCCCACCTGGAGACATGAGGACCCCTCACTGACCCTCAGCAGTGCAGAGGACAGCAGTAGAGACACAGTGCTGGAATTGTGCTCGGTCTGACCACACACACACACACACACACACCAGGGCGAAACACAAAGGGAGCGCAACAGAGCAGCAAGGGGAGCAAAACACCAAAGGCCCCGAGGAATCCTGAAAATAGACTTCAGACTCAGAGGGCAGGGCTCGGCACCTCGTCAGACTCAACCAGAAAACATACATAAGGGTCAGCAGACAGACCTGGAACTATTTATAGTGCCCCTCCCCCCGCCCATGTCTACCTATATAAGATAGGCAAGATAAACAATCCCGAGGAGAACACAATGGAACCGACAGGGAGGGGTCGGCCAACCAACCCAGGGACAAAGGAACAAGAGATCTGAAATCAATGGCAAGGATGGTGTAGAACACCTGGTGGGATTTGATCAAGTGCAATGTAGCCGAGAGGAATTACTGAGCTGAATGAAGGTTGAACATGATAGTGGGACAGGAGGAAAGTGAATGGAAAGAGAGGAAAGAGCTAGGAGGCAAAATACATTTATAGAAGTAATATGTATGTATGTAAGTATATTAATATATAATGATAGGGATACAGGTCTATGTATATATGTTAAGCATCAAGGTAGCAGACGGACATTGGGCCTCTGCTCAAGTGCTCCCTCAGTTCAAGAACACTTTGTTCTAATAACCTGGCATTCTGTGATGCTCACCTTCCCAACACGATTGCTAAAGTCAAAATGGGTACATGAGCTAATGTGGAGAAAGCTGATGGTGCCAAGCTATTACAAAACAACCTCTGGGGTCTTAAAGACTTGAAGTTAAGCAAGCGTCCATCTGGCAAGGGAAGCAACAATGCCCCTATGGAAGAAGCACCCCAGCTTGGGTAATCATGAGGTGTTGATGGGAGCAGGTAACAGGCAGGAGAAGACCCAGAGCAATCAAACAATGCTAACGAGGGGGTTCGGAGCAGAGACCTAAAGTCCATCTGGAGACATAGGACATCCCCTCACAGAAGGGTTACAAGGAAGGGACAAACCACCCAGGGTGCAGTACAGCACCCATGAAACACACACTATTCCTCTGGTTCTCTGAGGCTTCCTCGCCCCCCCTCCCCCTACTATCATGACCCCAGTCCTGCCTTTCACTTTGAACTAGACCGGAGCTGCACGGAATCCAGGATAGAGAAACACCCCAGGAACATTAATGGGAGTCGCGATACCATGAGGTTAGGGGAAAGGTGGGAAGGGGAAAAAAAGAGGGGGGGGAAAAAAGGCTAAAACTGTGAGTGAGGAAAGGATGAGGAAAGTCACAACAGGGAATGCTTTCCCATCCTGTGAGAATTAACGGCCTTCAGGAAACGTACCCATCGCTCTGAATGATGCCGCGGTTCTCATTCTTTCAGAGCTCCCAGAAAGTATGTGTCTGCAATTCCAGTGTGGGGTTCAGATCCAGTTGGGGTTTGCAGCCGAGTTTTCCAACGTCATGATCATCTACACAAGCATAGTCCACAGACCGCCGGAAATCATCATGTGCGATGCCTACGCGACCGATTTTCCCCTGGTGAGGCTCCCCTTGATGCCTGCGTTTAAGCTGCACCGCTCAATCTTACTTCTGCCAAATGGCTTCCATTAAATGCCTAAGGCCGGTGCCGGCCCACAGAGCGACCCTTCAGGACAGGGTAGAACTGCCCCTGCGGGTTTTTCCGAGACGGTAACTCTGCGGGAGTAGAAGGCCTCAGTTTCTCCCGGAGAGCAGCTGGTCATTTGGAATGGCTGACCTCCGGGCCAGCAGCCCGGTGCGTAACCCCCAAGGAGCTAACGCCTCGAGGCAGCATTCGTGAGCGGGTGGTGCTGATTGCAAGGCTTTGAGCCACAAACTAAATGTAGTAGGCCTTCACTGGTGTCCGGACTAACTGCCACTGGTTCTCCCAGGACCTGGACATTGACCCCAAAGATGCGAATAAGGGCACTCCTGAAGAAACTGGCAGCTACTTCGTGTCCAAGGACCTGCCCAAGCACTGCCTCTACACCAGGCTCGGCTCGCTGCAGAAGCTGCAGGTGAGGGCTCTCCCCCGGGAGCGCATTTTGGCTCATGACCCTTGCATTTGTTCATAAAAGGGCTGCTTCGGGGGAGGGGAGGGGGTTCCCCTTGAGGGAGAGAGAAGACATTAAGTCTCACCCGGGCCCTGTCCCATCTCGTAGCCTGACCGTGGCAGTGGCTGTCCATGTCATTACCCTCCACGCGGTTGAGGGACGTCGAGGAATGTATGTTGCTGTTTAAGTCTTTTTTCCCCCCCTTAATTTGAAATGTCTAGTTGTCTCATGCTGAAAAACTACCTCAACTCCCCTAGTCGAGCCTGCTAATAAAAATAGGTCTTCGCCAAGCTGGAACGCTTCATTGGTTCCAAGCTGCGTGACTGGATGATCAATTGATCAGGAAGGTGGGCGGGGGGCTACTATTGACACTCGGGCAAGACCAGCGAGCACAGACCTACCGCCGCCACCACCACGGCTAGTCACCAAAGCTCCCCTTCGGCCGTACAAGCTGAGCCGCCGTCGGGTTCAGTTGGTTTCCTCCTCCGGTGACTGCAGGTTCTTGCAGTTGTCGTATTTCTGAAGAGCTCCGGCTTTTGGCCTTCGGGTAAAGCCCAGGCTATTTTGTCTTTACAGGGTCCCATCCCACCTCCACACAAGGGGACGGGGAGCCATCTGGAGCCCCACTGCTCTCAAAGAGCCTTTGGCCATGGACTCAGGAAGCTGCCTGTCCCCCCTCAGGGGGGCGGGGACAGGGGCGTGGTTTCTGTTCCGTTTTATTTTGATAAAGTGGTATCTCAAGGTTGGTCTACCGGTGGAGCAGCAGCAGGTAGACACTCCGCAGGATCAACACCTGCTGGCCTGCTCCCATGAAGACTCCAGGAGCACAACATGAAAGACGCTGCCATTTGACTCCGACGACGTGCCGCCTGGCCCTCTAGCACAGCACAGGGCCGCTCCTGTGGGTTTCTGGAGCTGTGCATCTTTACGGAGGCAAAGGGAGCCCGGTCTTTCTCCCATCCGTAAAGACCCAGGAAACCTTGCGGGGCAGTCTGCTCTGTCACGGGGTCCCTGTGAGTCAGGGTTAATTCGACAGCCCCCAACATCAGCAGACATGCGCTATGGATCAAGTTAACCAGACTTTTATTCTCTCTGTCCTCTCAGGAACATCTGGTCTTCACCGTGTGTTTATCGTACCAGTATTCCGGGTTGGAAGAGACGGTGGAGGAAAAGCAGGAGGTGAATGTCGGGAAGCCTCTCATTGCCAAACTGGACATCCACCGAGGCCTCGGAAGGAAGACATCTTTCCAAACGTGCCTCGTGCCCAATGGCCCCTACCCGAGCCCTGCGACCAGCTCGGGGGCCACCGGACACTATCACTGTTCTCACCAGTCACTCCACCGCGACTTCTGCCACGCCCATGCTGGCTGCCCAGGCCCCTTGGGGCCGGCCGACGGGTGCCACTGCAGCCGGACCCCAGACCCCTTTGTCTCCAGCTACCACACCCGCCACTACTCGTCGCAGTTTGTGAGAAGTAACGTCCCCGTGGAGACCACCGACGAAATACCATTCAGCTTCTCGGACAGGCTCCGGATTGCTGAGAAGTGACCTCCCTCTTTCTGAAAGGGGGCACAGCTACTAGACGGCGCATCCACCACCAATGGTCCCCACGAAGGGGTGTGTGGACAGGGAGCGTGTCCATTCCCAGAGAAAGAACACTCAGCACAGCACTTTGATGAGCAGCTCAGGACCACTGCTCGGGGACAGACTGCTTCCTGTCCCAGTCACTTTGAGTCGGCTGCGTGGTTCTGTGAAAACCGAGTGTGGGCGTGTGCACGTTTGTGTGTGATTCGCCAACATTGCCAGGCCTGCTCTCTGGACACTCTTGACGTGAGCACTGGGAATGCCCTCACAGCAGAACCAGAGTGGACCTTGTGTCGGGAAGATTGGAAGCATTGTGTCCGGATTGGGCCAGCACAAAGCCGAGGCTCCGGGATCCCTCCCTAGCATTTCTCCTACACACCACTCCCTCACAGGCATGGGCTCCAGCTTCATGAGGAGGGTCAAGCCACTCACCTGGAGGTCGGCGGTTCAAACCCAACAACTACTCACAGGAGGAAGTCGCCTTCCCTAAAGATTCCAGCCTCGGAAACCCACAAGGGGCAGTTCTACCCTGTCCCAAAGGGTCGCTGTGACTTGGCATCAACTCAACTGCACAATGCCCCTCCCCCCCCTCCGCCCCACCCACCCAACATTATGTTCGTAGATAATATTTTAATATATGCATCTACATGATTGTTGTATCTTTATACTATCTCAAAGAATGTGTAGACTTGAGTTTGCAATACTCGGGTATTGGCTGCAATAGCCAGCTCAGAGGTTTACATACAAATCCTGTATAGACCAGGCAGAAGTGTCTGGTGGGTCCCGTCCCCTGGCTAAGTGGAAACCACAGGTGAAGCCCTTGTCTATGAGCAGGCGGCTGCCACAGCTGTGGGGTGCCCTTGGGTCAGTCCCCAGCCAGCCACAGCGGGGCACTGAGATACAAGCGGGCAGTCTTGGTAGCTGCTCATGCGAGTCTTCGCAGCTGGTACCGAAAGTGTCTTCCTCGGTGCTGCGTCCCTCATGAACTTTACTGGCCTCGGGAGACAATGTTCCTGTCACTGTTGGTCCTTCTTTTTTCGTTGTTGGTTGTTTTTTTTTTTATCATTTTATTGGGGGCTCTTACAACTCTTTTTACAGTCCAAATATCAATTGTATCCGACAGATTCGTACGAATATCGCCATCGTTCTTTTCTAGACATTTACTTTCCATTGAGCCCTTGGGATCAGCTCCTCCTTTTTTCTTTTCCTCCTCCCTCTCCCTCCCCCCCCCCAACCCTCATGGCCCCTTAATAGATTGTAGATTGTTAATTATTTTCAAATCTCATACCCACTGCTGTCTCCCTTCCTCTCTGGTTTCTTTTGTTCTTCCCCCTGGATGGGGGGGTGTGATTATGTGCCATTCATTGCAATCAGTGCCCCCCTCCATTCCCACCTCTCCCCCCCATTCCACCTCCCCTTTTTGGTACCTCTATTCCCATTCCTGTTCCTGGGTTCCATGTGTTGTGAGTTTT